TCTATCTATCTATCTATCTATCTATCTATCTATCTATCTATCTATCTTATCTATCCATCCATCTATATATCTATCTGTCCGTCCATCCATCCATCCATCCATCCATCCATCCCTGTTTCTGTCTGTCCGTCCATCCATCCATCCATCCATCCATCCTCTCTCCCCATCCATCCATCCATCCTCTCTCCCCATCCATCCATCCATCCATCCCTTCTCTCTCTCCATCCATCCATCCATCCCTCCTCTCTCCATCCATCCATCCATCCACCCACCCACTCTCTATAATTTCTCTCCCAGAGGGGCTATACAGTTTAATCCAAACATTAAAACCAAACAATTTAAGATTAAAATTTAAAAATGTAAAAACAACAACATAAGATTGCAAAGGGTGGAGAGATCCAAGCTGGGAAGACTAAGAATTGTTAATGGAGACTGGGGAGGGGTTCTCATGGGGCCAACCAGCCCCACGACCATGGGCTGCTGTGTCCCTCACGTAAGGCTGCACATCCAGATTTTGACCCCGTTGTGGAAGGCCAGGAGATTGGAGGCTTTCCTCCTCACTGGGGCAAGGTGTTCCAGAAAGCAGGGGCAACCACAGAAGAGATTTGCAGAGCGATAGTTTGGCTTTTGCTGTTCTAATACGTGGTCTTACTCTTGGTAGGAGGAGGGTGCTTGACTGCCTAGGTGTCGCAGCACAAAAGCTTGTGTGACTTAAAATACCATTTATCGATTGGTTTGCTTCTTATGGTTATTGACTGAAAAAATTGGTTTCTTATTATTTCTTCCTCTCAGGCAAACAGTTAAATGTAGGTTGCATCCCATGATGGGGTAAGCAGAATACAAACTCATTTTCCCCCGCTGTGTTTCTCCAGGGATAAGGAGCAATCTCTTGAAGAGTACAGAGCCATTAACTCGGCCAAGGATGGGCATTTTTTTAAACAGCTAGGGGTCACATTTCTTCTTGAAAACCCATCTCCGTGGCTGCGTGGGGCACGGCCAGTCATGTCACTGGAGTGTAGGCAGGGGTGGAGGTGAGGAAAACAATTCTTTCAGGATTTTCTGAGAATAGAAGTTAAGGGGCAGAGAGCTACCTGTCATCAAACTTCCCCCATCATCATTTAAGCCTCAGAAACAAAGTCCATCCAAGTAAGAATTTAGTAGAGAAGTCAGCACTGGAAGTTTTTAAAAAGATGTTGGGTAACCCTTTGTCTGAAGTGGTGTGGGGTTTCCTGCCTCGGCAGGGGGTTGGACTAGGAGACCTCCAAGGCCCC